CCGACCCCTCTCAATCGCTTACCACAACTCAGGTCACACTTACGCTAGGACTAGGAAGAAAGCCACCGCAATGGGGGACGGGACTTACAAAGTCCCTGATCTTTGACCATCCTTCTGGAGGGCTAGCAGGTAGCAGCATATCTCAAACCGTTAGTTGATGATATCTCGGAGCATCACGAACGATTTTATAGATATATATCCTCTTATTTTTCTTGAATGATATCACAATGTAGGAAGAATATCATTGTAGAGGAGACATGACAGTCTACTATAGACTTAGAATACAGCTGCTTCACCATACGTTTCTTGTTGATAAGCAGGCTCTGGAGCAGCAACTGGGGCAGCAACTGGCACGACGACAGGATCACGTTGTTCTGAAGAAGGCTCCAAAACGACTTTGTCAATGGGAGGTTCCAATATATGTACGGAATCGGGCAGGGGTTTGCGTGGTCCAAGTTGACCCTCTGGATCGTAACCTTTCATGCTGTTTAGAATTAATAGGTCAGTTTCTACAGATGAGATAGTGGCTATCTTTCTTACATTTTCACTTTGATTCCGAGGACACCTTGACGCAGCAGGACGTGACGAACGGCGTAGTCGACGAAGTCTCGAACAGGTTGACCGGAGTGGATCATGAATCCATCTGTAAATTTCATGGATTTGGCACGAGCAGCGCGAAGCTTTCCAGAAACGACAACTTCGCAACCCTTGGCACCGGATTCCATAACAAATCGGAGAACACCATAACATGCACTTTACAATTGAATGTCAGTAAAGAGGATTGGACAAACTCCTTCAAAAACATACCGACGAACGGCAAGTCCACCAAGAAGTTTATATCTCAAACTTTCACATTGAGCGACAGCGGAAAGACCACGGTGTTGGACTTTCTCAGCGTAAAGTTCCAGAGAATTTTCAGGGAATTTGAAACGTTTTTGTACAAGAGCAGTAAGCTCGCGAACACGGCGACCTTTTTCACCAAGAACTTCTTGGGTGTGGGTTGCACGAATGATGATCTAATAAAGATTGCGGATGTTTAATTGAAGCCAGATCAATGGGGTTGTATTTTGAGATACCTCAGTGCGGGCGTGAGTTACACGGACATCGCAACCAGAGTAGCCCTCCTCAGCGAGTTCGCGGGTGAAGAATTCATTGAGTTCGGCGCGGAAAACACCATCAGCTACGAACTTTCTCTTTTTACTGATTTGAGACGACATTTTAGGGGTAGATGTGTGCTGGCGTTAAGAGTCAAAAAGGTTAGATAGTAAAGGTTTGAGCTTTTTACCTTGGGCTTACTGTCGAGAGTGTCGAGGTCGTCGATGCCGATCTTGGTCAACCAATTAAATCGGGTGGCTTGATGGCTACATAGTTTCATTCGCTCGTTTCCGGCCACGTGACCCCTTTGTAGCCTATAAATTGATTCTCGAAATTGATACTTATACTTGTCCCCTTAGCTTACTCGGTCACAGCGAGATTCAGCGACTCGGAGCCCCTGCTCGTAAAGATAGAAAGGCGCAATGCACGAACGAGGTTCGTCTCTTTCATATTATTGTTTCCTTGCTTTCTTTCTATGACGAGTGTTGTAATTTTCAACCATTGGCACCTCTTAGTCGATTTGAGTCGCTATACAAGTATTGCGATTCAATGACATCCATGACTTCCTGAGATTGTTTTACCTTTTTCCTCGCTTTAAACCCAATTTGAAGCGATTGCTAACCTCATCTTCTTTTGCAGGTTGGCTATCTTCATTTCATCGCATCTCCCTGTATATCAGTTGTGTAGACGAAATATATCATCCTGTTACAAATTTGAATGGATATAGATTTTTATGTCAACCTTGTCGTAAAGGAAGTTAGATCTTTAACGAGTAGCCTCGTTCACAAATATCCCAGCAGCCCCCATTCCACTCCCGATACACATACTAGTGCAAAGTATTTGGCCGTTCCTGCGCTTCAACTCGGCAAGACCTGTAACAACCTGTCGGACCCCAGCTATTTACACCCATGAGTTCTCCATACTTCCAGGTGATTAGACAATAGACGTACTCATTCCGAGAGGGTGTGAAATGGCAATGGCACCACCACTATGCAAATGTCATTGTCAGCCCTCGCATCTGATTCCTCCAGACGAAAACGAGGTTTACTTAGGATTGATTTTTTCAATGGGGATTCCCAGTTGTTCGACGCAATAAGCAAATTGAGATGCAAAGGCTTCGTTAATCTGCAAAACACAAGTCATTGAGGTGAACCGAAAAAAATAAAATATTACAACTTGCGTACTTCGTAGACATCGACATCTTCTTTTGATAACCCAGCCTGAGCAAGAGCCCTGGGTACGGCATAAATTGGTGAGATGCCCATATACCGAGGCTCGACTCCTATATAAACTCATGAGTAAAAAGACCAAGATACGGGGCATTAAACAACTGACCAACAACCGCGGATGTCACATATTTCCCAACAATCTCCATCCCCTCTTTCTCTGCCCTCGAACGTGTGGTTAAAATGCATAGTCCCGCTCCATCTCCAACTCCACTAGCATTACCAGCAGTAGTTGTTGATTCTCCCCAATCGGGAAACGCAGGTTTCAAGGCTGAAAGCCCTTCAATAGTCACCCCAGGCCTTACAGTATCATCCTTCGAGATAACAACCCCTCGAAGTTCGACGGGAATAATTTCGTCGGTGAATATCCCGTCAGCAATAGCCTGTGCATCGATGAATTTCTCATCTTGTATTGTTATTGAATGATCATTACTCACCTTACTGGCCCTGCTATGCGAGATGTAAGCAAACGCATCCTGCTTCTCGCGGGGGACGTTGTAGGCCTGCGCGACCATCTCAGAAGTCCAACCCATGGGCTGGTTTTAGGGATTAGCAAGATATTACAACCAACAAAAAAAAAGGTTCATACCTCCATGCAATCATGAGCATGAGTACTAGCAGAAATCGACTCAACGACTTGGGGTGTTGGTCGTGGGCTAAAGAAAGATCATTGAACGTGAATGGGTTATTTCCATATCCAACAGGAGTGCGCACTCACTTCAAACTCATACTTTCCACTCCAACTGCAACTCCAATGGAAGTCTCTCCGGCTTGAATGGCATGAGCAATATTACGAATGGCCATTAAACCTGATGAGCATAGTCTGTTCACGACAGAGATAGGAACATCATATGGGATACCGGCCGCTATTGCGGCTGCTCTTGAGATATAAAGTGGGGAAGGAGGATGGCAAGTTCCTGAATAAATGAAACGCAAGGTTCATTAACACGGCCGTAATGTATATGCATAGTGCAGAACAGACTCACCAACACATATATCATCAATCTTAGATGGATCCAACCTTGTTTCTTTGAGGGTAGCCTGGATTTACAAGTTGTGTTTTAACATCTGAGAATCAGGGTAATAGGATGTCTCTTATTATACCTTGAACAATGCATGCAGGAGTTCATCGACTGGAGTGTCCTTAAGTTGTCCCTTCTTGGCCCTTCCGATTGCAGTTCGCTTCGCGAATGTTATAACAACATCGTCGGGTTTCTTCTCAAGAATATTAGCAATACCCTGAGGTCTCACACTGATTGCACGTGTGAGAGTAGGGAATATAGCTCGTTTGAGAGGTAAGGATGAACCAAGCAGCATGAATGAAGGTGATCAAGATTGGGACGAGAAATGATTCCCTGGAGTATGTACATGAGAAATGCGGGAAGGCCACGGACCACATCCGGGTCGGCTGCAAATATACTTCCAACTTGACTAGATGCAAACGGTGTTGTACAAACTTTCTAGTCTACTCTGGATAGAACGGGTGATCAGGATATTTCAATTGCCCTGACGAAGACTATGTTTCGACCCTCCTTCTAGCTCAAAGAGTGGTTCCCCATTTAAAGATATGTAGGCGCAACGAGACCCGCGACGTGTCGACGCGTCATGACATATCCGGTATTTCTCCAGATGCTTGTTTATTTTTCGCTTTCCATCTACGCGTTATAGAACTGTAACATTGAGGGCATATATGGTGTGCAAGTTTGACGGAACCACAACCAGCACAATTAGTGATATCTAAATCAGCGGTTATTTAGTTATAAAGATAGAACTCTGGTACGATACGTACTTTGCTTGTCTTTGAGACCTTTGTTGGCACTTCTCATAGCCTTTCGTGAATGCGATACTTTTGACTTTGGGACGGCCAAGAGAAAGGGAGGAAAAAGGTCAAGGAGTGATTGTAGTGAGGGTATTGACCATGATATTTGAGGTAATGTTAGGGATGACGCCGCTAATAATGGAGCCCAACTTTTAAATGACAATGACGGCAAGAGACTTTGTGTTTGTCGAAGGGCAAGAGTGGTCATGGCGAAGGGCCAGTTTGTGGTTACGAATAGGTAAAGAAAATTTGAGACTCCGATTCGTTGAGGCTTCACATCTTCACCAACGCCCTCCATGTTTCGCCTCACCCGCCCTCTGCGCCAAGTCCTCAAACGAACAACAGGCATCCATGGACTCGCCGTCCACCCCGACCCTCTACCCGCGCTAATCAAAACATACGAATCAACACTATCCACTCTCTCATCCATTCCGCAAACATCCGTCTACCGACAATCCGTCGAGGCTCTCGTACGGAATAAACTGAACATTGTAAAAAATGCGAGTGGGGATGTCGCTGCGGCTGAGCAACGGTTGGATGAAGGTCAGATTGAGGAAGCGTTGGATATTGCTGCAGATGAACTTTTGTTGGCTGCCAAGATGATTGAATGGAAAGCGTATGAGAATTTTATTTTATTTCGTGTTTGAATGGATGATCATGACTCTATTTTATAGTTGGGAACCGTTGGAGGAGAAACCAGAAGGAGGACAATGGGAATACATTGGGGAGACTACTACTGCATCTTAATGATATTCCATTGAAAACATTTCTATGATACAGTCTGAGTAAATAAAATATACAACAGTAGAGAGAGTCGTTCCCAGCTTATTATGGAACAGTGAAATTAGAGTCAAAAAGTTCGCTGGAAGCAGGATTTGAACCTACGCGGTGAAACACCAAGTGATGATGAGTTTGATAATTCAAATCACTCGCCTTAACGACTCGGCCATTCCAGCGCTGATAACCGGTCTCAATTAACCCTACAAATTCATTAAAAACGTTCTGTAAACGCCAAACCTCCGTTCATTTCTTATAGCCAAGTTGTTTGTTTTTTCTCCTCCAAACCCATGGACTCTCTAATTTCTTTCACAACATCGGGCTCCCTGGTGGATTGTGTGGACCGTACGTCGATCCAATCTCATCACACTCCTCCAGTTTCATCCTGAGCACACAATCCCTCATCTCCCTCATAAATCTACACCCGGTGTCCACTTTTTATTTATTTTTTTCCCCCGTCCTATCCTCCATTTGCCTAGGAAAGATGCTAGTAATTTTGCGCGATGGCAGAAAACTACACGGTGTCCTCCGCTCTTATGATCAATTCGGTAAATGTCAACCAAGCCCTTGCTTCCTTCCGACGTTGATCCCCCCCCTTTTCAGCTAATCTCGTTCTTGAAGATACAGTAGAACGAATATATCACGAAAACGCTTTTGCTGAGAACTTCCATGGTCTCTTCCTGATTCGTGGAGAGAACGTTGTGCTGCTGGGTGAAATAGTATGCTCCATTCCCACCTACCATGCTTGTGGAAATCTAACGGCGTCCATAGGATCTGGATAGAGAAGACGATGTTCCTCTCCGACAAGTCGAGTACAACCTCCTTGCTTCATATCACAAACGAGATGCAGAATCTAAAAAGGAACGAGAAGAAGCGAAATCTCAAATCCTTTACGAACAGAAAGGGTTCTGCAAAGAGGGCGGCGAAGGCGATGGATACTAAGTACAAGTATTGCAGAGACGGCCTTTTTTCCATGTATTGTAAAGTATTATTATACACACCACAATGCACTTGCATGAAAGGAACTCGTACTTACATGAATGGATAGAAAAATGAGAGGAAAATAGCAAGAACGAAAGCTAAAGAACAAAAAGATAAAAAAGTAACTAACTGGTGAGTCATTAATGTAATGTCGTTGTAGATATCATCAAGAAGTCGGCGCCTTTCGCTTCTTCCCTCTCTCCGAGCCTTTAAACTTGCGTTTAAGAAATTGACGCGCGAGTTCAACATTCGCATTCGGGTTCTTGACACGAGACGTCGTTTCACCCGAAGTCCGGTTCTGAGGGTCTGTCATATCTTCGATCCGTTTCCGAATTTCACGTTCCCGTGTCGTCAATTTAGCTAGTGCCTCTTCCTTCTTCTCTCTCTCCTTGCAAACGTCTTTATATCGCACAGTTTGCCACCTGATCAATAACAATCAAAAATCAAAACAAAATCAAGAAAGAAGCAAAAGTTACCCAGCATGTCGATCACATAATTTCTGTCCGGGACACCACCACTGTTCATCTCCACCATCGACATCCATCTCTCCATCTGCTCCTTCCTCCTTCAAGCCCTCATAACTCTCCAAAACACCCGCACCAATATCCGCCCACTCCTCATCATCAAAACACAATCGTTGATCCCAGCCACACAGACCCACCTGGTCCGCCCTCTCACTAGCCAATTGCAACAACCGCTCGCGCCATATGACAACTTCCATCCCCCTTTTGATCTCCTCTCTCAGATTCATGACAGACTCTAACAACGCGTTCAACCGTGCTGTCTCTCTCTCCACTTTTGTCTTTGTAGATGGAATGATCCGATGCTGCTTCACAGGTTTCACAAGGTCACCGTTGCTGCTGCTATCAACCTCCATCTTCGTCCCCCCATCTCCGCCGGCACAGCCGCCATCACCATTAATACACCCATTAACCTCATTCTCCATCACACAAATCACCACACCCTCCCTCTTCTCAGCATTCTTCACACTCTCCCACAGTTTATCAGGCTTTCCACCCTTCTTCGCCCATGAATCAATCCGAGACTGCATATATTTGACGCCACACGCGTCTGAACAATATTTCGAAAAAGCGCCTCGGGCAGCTTTGTGGCAGGCTTTGGAGGAGTTGGGATCTGGGTGTCGGAGACCATAGAGACATCGTTGTTTATATGTGGTACGCAGATTGAGATGAGGGTTTTCTGGAAACATATAAGACTGAGGGATAACAGGAAACAGAACCAAGTACGCACTCTCGATACAGGGCGGACAAATAAATTGATCCACAAGATCAACTTCCAAGTCTGGCATGTCCACACACTGCGTATGATACCACTCATCACACCTACGAAAAAAACTAAACTAAATTAAAAGAAACAAACAAACGGTACTCACTTATCGCAAGCAATCATGAATCGATCCTCATCATACTTGGTCTTGCAAACACAATAAAGCTTATCATCGTCATTGGCCGCATCTGAATCTTCCTCTTCTTCCTGTTTCTCCGGCTTGACAGAGTCTGCCCCTTCCGGGGCACTACCGCCGGGCATGACTGACGTGGATCTAGAACGAGAAGTGGAGGGCGCAGTTTTCTTGGTGGTGGCTTTCGTTGTCTTGGAGGTCGATGGCAGTGATGGGACAGCAGCAGCGGTTTCGACAGCAGCAGCAGCGGCGGCTTTCTTGCCTTTTGCAGCTGGTTTGGCGCGAGGTTTGGGCGGGGCAGTACTCAAATGGTTACCAGCAGTGGCGTTTACTGCAGCGGCAGATTTAGTCTTTGTCCCAGCCTAACCAATACCCAGTAAACACAAGAAGATCAAGAAATAAGAGAATGAAAGGCACCTTGAGTGCAGGTTCCTTCTTCTTCTTCGCAGGTACCACACTGCCCGCTCGCTCATTACTCTTCTTGGATCCACTGCCCATATTGGTCGTTGCCGGGGGTGGCATCGATCCTCGCTCAGAAGTTGGCCTAGTGGATGAATGTTGTGCAGCAGGAGAAATCAACGTAGTCGAAGATGAAGCGGAAATAGTCGGAGACGTATGAGGCGCGTCTCCGACCGACCGCAGAGGAGGTGGGGGTTGCTTAGTACCTGGCCCGATGCCACTCGCCGTAGTAACGTGAGACGAGGACGCTGCCGAAGGACGCCGGGCAGCGTTCATATTGTTATTCACCAAAGGATGATGGAATCGGTCATCGATCAGACTCAACAACTCATCCTCCACATCAACCTCCATACCCAGATGTTCATGTTCGTGTTTCACATCTTCACCATCCAATGTTTCCGCTACAAGTTCTGTGACAGCTAGGTCGACGTCCAAGTCCATATCAGTGTCGTCAGGATCTTGTTTTTTGTTGAGGGAAGTCAGCGACGGGGTTGGTGGTGGTACTGAGACAAGTTCTTCTAGCTCTTGTTCGAGTGCGACAGCAGCTGTGATAGGCGTGAGCACATTATACGAAGAAGGTGGGCTCCTGGGACCATATACAGGGAGAGTCGACGTGGCAGGACTCAGAGATGGGGAAGGCGAATGGGGTGGTTCGGGTCGAGATGACGTCGTGGGAGAAGGGTCTTCTTCATATTGTTGGAGAAACCATTCGTGTGCATCATCCTGTGGTGTTTTGGGAAGAAGCTGGGTTTTTGCAAGATGTGGTGGCGGTAGAGCAGGGATGGGTGTCGGTGTAACCACCTTCCTATGTCGACTGTCCTCTTGAGGTACACGATGACGGTTCGGCTTTGTATCCTCCTTGGCCTTCGTCTCCTCCTTGGCCTTTATCTCTTCTCTAGGCTTCGTCCCCTCCCTAGATTTTGGTTCTTCTTTGAGTTTCACTTCTTCCCTGGGTCTGATTTCCTCCTTGACATTTGATATCTCCCTAGTCTTTGGCTCCTCCTTGTGTTTTTTTACCTCTGATTCGATAGACAATGACGGGAGAGGAGGTGGTGGAGGCAGAAGAATTTCCTTGAGTATATGCTCATCAGATTTCCTCGCGGCTTTGGCTCTACCAATCTGACTTCCGGGCGGTGACCTTCTCCCGAGAGGACTGAGAATACGGTCACGGGGGTCTGGTTGGGATACTGGGATGGGCTTGTCGAGCAAGAGCTCAGAGACTGGCATTGATTTCCTTCCCTGACCATGCCCTGACCCTGGTCTTCTGGGAGCGGTAGAGGGACCAGCGACGGGTGAGTCTATGCGTCCATACCCCAGTTCCCCAACGACCATTTTTTCCCTTTCTCGGGCGATGCGCTCTTTATCGTTGAGTAAGGGGCGTGTAGGAGAGTCGGAGTAGCGGCGTTTCTTAACTTGGCGTGCATCGTCAACCAAATGATGAGGTGAAGGATCCGGATGGATCGGTGTGTTCAAAAGCTTTATCTGACATGGATCTGAGTTGCGGTGCGGTGGATGTGAAATAAGATGGGAAATGGAGGGGGGGTGTGGAGAAGTGATAATTGGGGAAGGAATACGGGGATCATGGAAACGGAGGGGTGAATCATGAAACTGCGGACGACGTTGCATATGTTCGAGCTCTCGTTGACGTTCGAGCTCCTTTTGTCGTTCAATTTCTCTTTGACGTTCAATTTCCCTTTGACGATCGATTTCCCGCTGACGGTCAATATCTCGACGTCGTTCGATTTCTCGTTGAACTTCTAGTTCCCGCTTTTCCATTTCCCGTTGTCGTTCCATTTCTCGCTTATGTTCCATTTCTCTCTGTAGAGCGATTTCTCGTTGCCTATCGAGTTCCCTTGCCTTTTCTACCTCTCTTTGGTAAGCTACGGCCCGTTGTTGTTCTAATTCATGTTGCCTTTCTGCTTCCTGAATGCGAAGGTGATCTTCTCTCTGACGGTCGTAGGGGTCATGACGGCGTTCAAGTTGAAAGGCACGATCCCGTTGAATTGCGAAATCTTGAGCGCGTTGTTGGTCGTCGATGCGTTTTTGGAGTTCAGCGTCTTGAATACGACGTCTGCGATCCATATCAAGGGCATGACGTTGATCGATATCTTGATGCAAGGGTTGTAGTAGGATATGATCATGCTGTTGTTGACGCTGTCTGTGAATGCGTTTGTCTTCTTCATAGTGAGGACTTAAAGGGACTGGTGGAGGCAGAAAGCGGGGGGAAGGTTCTGTAACGGTGAGACGCCTTCTTTCTTCAGTTGCTGCTTGAACTAGAGCGTCGAGGGGAGAAAAGTTGGGTGGATTGTCATCACAAAG